GGCCTGATTCCTATCTGAAAACCCATGTCTTTAGATTACGCTGGAAGCTGGAAGACTAGGAAAAGGCTGTGAGAAGCCCACTTCCATAACAAACCATGTGGACATGTTCATGGACTGATTAGAGGTCAACTTTCACGTATAGGAGCTTTATTTTTACCAACAGGTGAACCCAACTACTGGTTCACAAACTGAATTATGGTAACAGGGAAGGGTATTTGGGTCAGGGCTATCTATGATTCTGGAATGGAGCAGTCTTTTTGAACTGCATTTTTTTTCAGAGTAATTCACTTACTTACTTCCTAGACTTATATGGCTATCCATCTTACATGTCACAATTCTGAGCAGCTCACAACACCATAATAAAACAAAGGAAACAATAAAGGCAACAGCCAAAAACAAACTAAGCCATCAACAATTATAAACACAATCACACTTCACTCACCAACCCCCCAGAATTCTGCTATTTAGCCCACCAGGGAAAACTTGGAGAGGCAATCACGTAATACTTGTAAACTTTCCCCCGTGAGCCAAACAACATTTAAAGGTGGCTTTTTTGGTTTTTTTCTTTTCTTTTTCTTGAAGCATTTGCACAGATGAAAGACTCAAGGTTTCTTCAGCTCCAAAATACCAGTTCAGGTTTGTCATCTTTCAGCCTGCATTTTTGTAAACCATCATCAAATCCACTTATGATCTAGGAAAATACAAGATATGACAATGGGAATTCATTCATTTATATGTTGTTTTTTTAAAACATCCAAATTTAGAACAGATTGTGTATAATTCTTTATGATGATTTCTGCAAGAGGTCCATTGGCTGTTTAAACACCTTACTGTTCTTAACCTCTTTGAAGACGTATTATATCTGAATGATTATCTTCGCTGATTTCTCTGTGGGACTGGCGCAGACTGCAAGCCATATACAAATCAAGTAAAATCAAAAATTAATTTATCTGCATTTGCTTGATCCTCCGCTCAAGCAATTAGATATTTAAATCTATTTGAAAGTGAGAGGACTGATGTCAAATACTTGTTATGCAAAAAGAAAGCGTTAAGAGCTTTCACATAAAGGAAGGCGTTGTTTATTTAAAAATATATTTTTCACCAAAAAAAGAAAGAAAGAGGGGTTGGAGGAGAAAAGAAGAAATTCTTAATCCTGTTTTGCATAGTAGCTTCCTGCCCCTTCCCACTCTTTTGCACCCTTGCAATCTGCCATATTCTACCTGGATGCAATGCTGCCTGAATTAATTAACAACTTCCCCTGCCATGTATTAGTGCTAACATATGGCATTTAATTACTGCTACCAACTCAGCACTTTGTCCCTTTAAAATTTCCAAAGTCTTTTCTTCCACGTTTCTGCAGAGTCAGAGAATAACTGCCTAGCAGGCCTTTCTCAATCTCCTTTTCTATGAGTAATGAGTTTACTCTGAGCTGTTTGCAAGCGACCAGACAGTGTAGCTATTATTTGATACCGCTATAAAATGTTAGAGATCTCTCATAAAATCAGTCATAAAGGGCCTTGCCAGTCACAAAATACCCAGTTATCAGAAATGGGTGATTCTTTGCCAATGTCTTTTATCCCCCCAGGGTGCTATCTTCCACCCAGGTGATTTGGGGGTGAGCTCTGATCATATGGACACATCTCCACCCAAATCACCAAGCTGAAGCCACCCTCCTTCACAATGTCTATGAGAACTATGTGGAGTTGGGGAAATCGCCTGGCATTTTGACTTGCTGAACTTTATGTTATGCCAGCATGCTCATTTGTGTATGGATTTAAATGTAAAAGAATATAGTTGTTCAGGTATAGGCTGAATTCTGGCCTAATATTTTCTTCTTCTTTTTTTCTAATAATAATTTTTATTAAAACAAGATTTTACAAAGATTTCAAAAAAAACTACAGAAACATAAAAAAAGAAGTAGAAAAAGAAAGAAATCGCAAAAGGGTAAAAGAAAAAGTGAAGGATAACAAAAAGGAAAGAAAACGAAAGGTACCTAAAGAAGTGACTTCCAAACTTCTTTGCAGCACTTTTTTTTGGGGGGGGGGGAGCTAATACTTTCAAAAACCTGTGAGTTCATTAAGGGTAAAGGTGAAGACTCCATCGAGTCAAACTGAAGTCTTGGTGACTTCATAGACATGAAGATGGAACAGGTTTGCCATAGTCCTCTTCTGGTATGTTTCTTCAACTTCTCGATCTAACCTACAGCCCTGGATTTGATGATGATCCCCCATCCTAGTACTAATGATGTCTGTCTTTGCTTACCTTTGTAAGATCAACCAGAGTGGCAAGGGACTTCCACCTAGTTGGGCAAATGAATTGGTAGACCTGCAGAACCAGTTTTATCTCCATAAATGTCGCAGCCTTGGTTTAGAAAAAGGCCTTGAGGAGTGGCTTCTTTGCTTAGCCATCTTATACTAAGCAAGATGCAGTTGAATTATGCTTCCCCGATCCCTTATATGACACAGTCAGTGAGTGATTAGGGATCAGGCCAATGGGATTACGTTGGGCAATGGGAATTGTGGTCCAAGATGTGAAAAGATCTGGTCCAACATCTAGAAATCTTGGTTTTAATACCACATCAGTAGGAGAGTTGAGCAAATCCTTGTATGAAGGATAATGGTCTTTGGGTTAACTGTTGTGCTCTCCAGACCCAAGACTGCTAGTTCAAATCAGGCTTACACTGTCCATATGTGAAGAACATAAGATTTTATGTCAGATTAAAGTAGTGGTTAGGTTCCTTCACTGAAAACAAATGAAACACTTTTTTTATTCAAGAAGATTCATTTGCACTCACAAATACTACCAACTGCTTCCAATTGATCTCTCAGCTGCCTTTGTAAATCAAGGGAGCAGATCCACATACATATTTTTTCAAGGTTTGAT